TTTAGTTATTCCTTGTTTCTCATAAATTCCTCATTTTCCCATTTAATATATTAACCATATAGTATTGAATTATCACCAGTATCTTCAAATGCTCTCAGTTTATTTCTGTTGCCTGTTTTCTTGATGTATTCCTGGGTATTGACTGAAATCACAATTTATTTAATATACTTTATGTTTATGCAAATTATACATATGTTTGTTCTAAAATATATTAGAGCTGATTTGAGTGTGCACAATTATCTTTGTCCACCAAGGAAGATGTATTTTGATTAAGCTAGACTGAAACACTAGGTATAAGCCACTCTAGTCCTACCAAGGGCTGCACCACCCCTAACCTGAGCTTCAATGCTGAGGATATCTTGTTTTCCTCTCCCCGCTTCCCTTCTGGAGTTAAGCCCTGTCAGTGTGCCAATGAAAGGCCCTGGAATGTGTCCAGATCCCTCCTTCTTTCATTCCTTGTTGTTAATTTTTATTTACAAGCAATCAGACTGAAGAGGGCTTTGTTCTATTCTGAGGTCTTTCAGCTCCATCCTTCTTTCAGATTCTCAGCTTCTGGGCAACTCCTTCTGAACTTGTATAAGCATTATGGGAGACTGCACAGTCAAAAACAGCTCATGTTTCTGATCGTTCCTTCTTTTTTGTATTCTGGAACACTTACTCTATTGCTGTGCTGCATCCTCCTACAGAGGTAGAATGGACCCCTTCTATAATTAATGGAATGTAATTGTGATAATTCTTTACCACTAATAGAATTTGAAAGTTTATTCTTCATACACTGGATACCTGTGCAAGGTAGGCACAGGCTGGTCCAGTATCGCTTGAATGAGGCAGAGTTTTGGACTTTTATTGTGCCTGAGAATGGGACTGAAGGGAATGGTTTATTTTGTGTGCACAGGATGTGTGACATAGGAATTTCTACCATCACTTAACTAGGTGTGGGTGGGAATGAAAGGATGAGATGAGCTTGAAAGTGTCAGTGACAAAACATCCAAAATTGTGTCAGATTCTAATATATCCTGCCACTCAAATTTCTCCAAGTACATGTCCTGGAATTCACAACCCTTCTGAATAAGACTCCTAAGGCTTGGAATTACAGATGTGAGTCACAGTGAGTGGCTTTTCAATACTTGTCCCACAAGTCTGAATCTTCCAGCAAGAGAAACACTGTTATTATTTTCATTCCTCAATTGATTTTTCATTTTTCTTTGATGGGATTCCCTTGTAGTATTGATTTAATATAAAATGCATTTTGGCCCATTATGTGAGATGCAAGGGCTAATATAGAAAACTATGAAAAATAACCATAAAATACCCATTCCCTTGTTCCATCTACACTAAGTCAGGAGTCAGGACAACCAAAAATACAATTGATTAGAAGTCCTTTTCCTTTTACTTGTTTTGTCTCAGAATTCCAAGATAAGTACCAACACAAATTCTGTGTTTTGCCTGGATCAGATCTCATTTCTTTCTAGTTTGTGTTCTCATTTCATCTTCTTCACTTACTCATCTATATGTGTAAATTTTCTCCCCTATTTGTGTCATGGGTCAGTTTTGCATCATCTGACTCACTTACTCCATACAGTTTTCAGCCTGTTTTATCCTCTCGACAGCTGTGGAAAGAAATTGTATCCACCAGGTAGAGATAATATAGACCCACAGTTTTGAATTCTGGGACAAATAATTAGCATTTTCAGCTGATATCTCTGAACTATCTTGGATTTACTTTCTTACATGCTGATATATTCTAATTTTTGTGAATACACATTAACTAAAAATCCTTTCTTCTTATGCTTATATTTAGAATTTTATAAATATTTCATACTGTCTGTAGGAGTGTACAGTGGTACAATAGCTCTTAAATGCTGTCTGGAGATGCTATGTTAACTTCAAATGATTAAATATAGTGTTAGCATATGTGATAGACATTTCATGACAGTTATATATTCAAGAAGAAAGAAGAGCTTATGTTCACACAAAAACTTACACATGATTTTTCATAAGAGTGTTATTGAAACAGCTACATGTGGAAACAATTCAAATATATATATATATATACATATGTATAGTGATGAAGGAAAAAATAAAATCTAGTGAACACATACAATGGAATATTATTGGGCTATACAAATGACTGAAGTACTGATACATGCTACAACATGGATGAACCTGAATTATGCTAAGTGAAATAAGCTATTGACAATAGAATACACAGCACAATTTTGTTCCCAAAAATGTATAGTAATCAGTGCTGGAGTGACAGAAGTTAAATTAGTGATTGTCTGAGACTGGGTATATGTTATGTTTGGAAAAGGAAGTAGCTGAAACGGGTACATGGTTTATTTTGCTGTTAATGAAGATGTCCTAAAATTGATCATACTGATGTCTGCACAACTCTGTCAATACAATACAATCCATTCAAATTTAAATTTTTGATTGTATGCTGTATAAATTATATTTGATGAAGCTATTAATAAAAGATTGGGATTTCAATTGCAGAGGTCTTGGGAAATTAATACAAAGTTATATAAGTAGTGAAAAAGCAAGGAGATATTTGTAGGCTCATGCCTGAGACTGTTTAACCTGACATGACTTTTTGTACATTTACAGATGATCCATCTTTAGAATTATTGAGGCACATCTTTGTCCTAAAATGTTATTGGTAAGGACTGCACATGTAACTCTGTGGTTTATAGATTGCCCAACCTATACAAGCCCTGGACTCAATTCTTAGTGTGGAAAAGGAATAATGGGATTGCTAGTCTTTTCTACATTACTCTTCAATCTATTGCATGGCCTTAAGCAACTACCATTATTCCTCTATCTAGTTGTTCTTTATCTTGTGTGTATGAATGGTACAGCAGGAAAGATTCCATGTGTGCTATTGTTTCATTTTATGAATGGTACAGCAGGAAAGATTCCATGTGTGCTATTGTTTCATTTTTTAGTGAGTAAAATTGCCAGTGGTTTAAATGAATACATAGGGATTGAAAATACATTGAAGCCAAGACTTTTTATTTCATGAATATTCTTTTAATTTGGGTTGATAAGTTTAGATGAGTAGGATCTACAGTTATAGTATAATGCACTTTGGTTTATAATTTAGATGTTATCTAAGACAAAATAGACAATTGTGTCTCATGTGATCTGAGATCACTAAAAGTGTTTAGACTTTGGCAACCCTCAGAACCGCTCACATTTGGTGAGATGGATTCATATACAACATGTGAAAATAAAGGCCTATTGTTCTTAAATAATATTTGATAAGATGATAAAATAAAACTAGTAGCAGTTGGTTTGAAATATTTTTATGTTTTATAGGTTATTTCATTTAATAAACTTTTTGGTAGGGTATATCTTACATAAACAGATACACTCACAAATCAAAACATACATATATATATATATAGCATATGTTTGTACACATGCATACATTTATACAGACACATTTACAAGATGTTAATGCACACTTCACTGAATTTTCACAGTTAACACACTTGGATAACCACCAAATGTAAGGAACACAACATTGTCTCTCTCCCAAAGGAGATCTCTCTCTACCTTTTCATACTTATTGACCTTAACAAGTCAATGCAACTTCTACATGGTTTTTAATTTCATTGGCTACTCTGACCTTTTAGTACCTTAATATGCTTGTGATATTTGCTGATATTCTTAGATGTAACAACTGTATATCCTCACTGCCATATATTATCTAAATTATGCATGCATTTGATTTAATTTATTTATTGCCTGGGTGACTGACCTTTAGGCTCTTCTTAGTTTGGGGCCTTTGTATTACTATACATTGATTCATTGCACATTTTCACATGCTCCAAGTGGAAGGTCTGGATCCCAGGAAATGTTCATGGTCAGTGTCAGTTTTCCAACTTGTGTACCAATTCAGGTTTACAACAGCATACACAACCATTCTAGTTGCTTTTTTTCCTCCGTTGTATTTGATGTCAGTAAACTTTTTAGTCTTACTCATCCTCCTTAATGTTTAGTGATAATTGGTTGTGATGTTCAATTGTAATTTTATGAAGATTATTGATGTTGGCACCTTTTGTATAGGTGCTTAACATTTATATATGTTATTAATAAATTGTGATTTATTTAAAAACAAGTCTTTTTACCATAGTCTGCAGTGTCAGCTTTGCATTAAAAAGTGTCCCTCTCTTTGTTGTCTGTCTCTGAACACCCTCTCGGGTTTCACTAGAGAGCTTAGCTGAACATACTGCCCAGTCACAGTACTGCAAGCTGAAGTGTAAAAATTCACATTGCTGCTTCTCTGTATTGTAGTAGTTGTTCTATGTCTCTGACAATCACTTATAAAACATAGAATCAGCTTTTAAATTTTCACATCAAAAAGTCCACTGGGATTTTTATTCTTATGTTGAGTCAATGTAACAATTTATGAAGAATTTTTGTATTTTTAATACATAGGTCTTCAGTCATTAAAATAAATATGTCTTATTTGAGTTTGTTGAATAATAGTCTGGAGATTTCAGTATAGAAGGCATACACATTACTATCTAAGTTTTGAGGTGTATGATGCTATTCTGAATGGTATGGTTATCATTTTAATCATTCTCTTATGCTGTAGCTATGTAAAAATTAATTTGATTTCATGTATATTTGATTACTTCATTTGATATTTTCCTTGTTAATTCTAATAGTTTCTCTGCAGATTATTGCAATTTTTCTTGCACATAATCTTCTCATCTGTAAATTGTGATAGTTTTCATTCTTTCTTCCAAAGTCTTGTTATTTCATATTGTTATTTTCTTATTGAATGTGCACAGCAATTTGATGTTACTTGTAGTGAAGTTATTCCTTAAGATGGCTGAGCAATTAAGACTGAGGAAAAGTCCAAGAATCAAAATGCAAATCTTACCAGCATGGTACTTTCTAGAACAACTTTTCCAGATAGTAGTTAAAACTGAACACAGTAGCTATCCATAAAAGAAGCAGCTGGTGTGAACAAAAAACAATAAAGTTCTTTAGTATGTTTTTGTTTCACGTTGAATCACTGTGGGATACCAATTGTTATACTGATAACAGTGATAAACTGCATAATCCTCAGGCTCCAGGCTGCTGATTGTGAGAGTAAAATCTGTACCAGACCCACTACCACTGAATTGGGCTGGGATGCCAGTGGCCCTCACAGATATTCTTATCTATAGATAAGGAGCCTGGGAGCCTTCCCGGGTTTCTGCTGGTACCAGGCCAAGTTGGTGCTAACACTCTGACTGGCCTGGCAATTGAGGGTAGCTCTTTCTCCTGGAGACAAAGACAGTGAGGCTGGAGACTCTGTCAACAGGGCTTGTCCAGTGGCATCTGAAATTAAAAAGAAAAAAGAAAAGTCAAGCACAAAATTCTGTTTAAATTTATTTGCTCCTGGCAGAGTCAGGCTTGTTGATCTAAACTGAATCTTAATTATTGTTTTTGCAGAGCAGATGTTAGAGGACACATGAATCAATGACATTGAGGGAGTTTTCGTAGACTTGCAGACCAGCCCATGTTCCCCTCACCTGGAAGCCAGAGTAAAAGGAGGCAGAGGAGTGGAGCTAGGACTTCCATGGCTCAGTCTGGTTCTTACTGAAGGCAGATGTTCCCCAGAGTTTTGACTTAGGTATTGATATGGGTAGCGGACAGCAAGGAGGACTGGGAGGAGCATGCAAAGCAGCCAGTGAGAGGAGAGGTAGACTCCCAGCTGCAAAGACATGTTCCTCCTCTTCTCTGTACGAGAGCAAAACATGCCCAGGTGGTCATGCTGCTCAATAACCTTGACTCAGCCTGAGGATGTATTTCTTGCCTCAAGTCACAGAAATTACTCACACATAAATTAGAATCAACCAGACAGTATTTGGAAAAATCTGTAGAGACAATAAAGGCTGTGGTCCCATTTTCCTAGTTCTAACACCAGAGAATACAGTTATTTCCTTTATTGAATAGTTGGGTGTGGTTAAAATGAAGAATCAATCAATAATTCATGTCCCAGAACCACTCTTCCTTTGCTGCTTAGTGATATGTCCAGAAAGATCTGAAGGTACCTTGTCCTTTTGTAGAATTAGTGAAGAGCAACACTCAATTAGGCACAGGAGCATATGTACAAGAATGACCACTGCTGTGCAGATGGGAAGGTTCTGTGCGTTATCCCTCCAGGAATAATACCATCTCTCTGAAGACACCTTCATGAATCAGCATCAAATCAGACTCCCCTCTCCTCAAAAGCCTGAGAAATCTGTCTGCTTACAGGTCGTATGTCATTAACCAGGTTTCCGAAACATTTTTCTGCCTCAGTTTAACACTGTGAAAATAACAGTACTTATATCACAATTGATTTCTGTGGGTTCAAGGATATTTCATCTATACACAGTTCAAGGATTTTATTTTTTCCTAACAAGCTCACATGCCTAATAGTCCTAAATAATTCGTGTCAATCTACACAAATTCTTAAGACCTTCAATCATACCTACCCAGAATTTTTAGAGCATTTTCTCCTCCATCCATTGTCAAGACTTTGCTCTTATGAAAGATAGAACAGTTGTATCAACCCTACACAATCACTTGATTTAAAAAATGAATGTCAACATACATATTATTGTGTTTTTTTGTTGCCATTTCTTATTTACTCCTGAGTCAGCCATTTTTTAACCTTTTTACCTTTCCCCTAACACTTAGTCTTTGATTTGCAATAATGAAATTCTACCACGATTCAGCTGAGACTTCATCCAGAATTTGAGTTTTATCCTTTGCTGGCTTAAAGACTTTTCCAAATTTAATATTTTATTAGTTAAAAAGTATAGGCAGGTAATGCTTAGGTTTGTAAATGGTGTTTTCTCCAAAGATTAATGTACTGGAGATACAGTCTTTACTATGGCCACAATAAGAGCTTATATCACTTGCAAGTAGTTAGACCTACTGAGAAGTATTTAGGTCTTAAGAGGTACTGCTCTAGGAAGAGTTAATGGTGGTCTGAAGTAGTGAGTTAGTTCTCACAAGAGTGGGCTGTTACGAAGTAAGACGATATCATATGCTTGGTCACTTCAATGCACAGCTGGTTCCTTTTCCACTTGTACATATGTTGTGATGAAGACTAGGGGCTGACACAAGACAAATGGATGATGCTGCCAATCTTGCACTTCAGGATTTTGAACTGTGTGGAAAATGAACCTCTTTTCTGTATAATCTGCTCAATTTAGGTATTCTACTGTGGCAATCAGAAAAGGATGAATACAGGTTTTATTTCTATTAAACATGTAGCTTTTAAACAGAAATATTCTTTAATACTCTCACTGCAGGTAAAAAAATAAATATCCATATTACCTGAAGTGAGATGGATGCTAATCCTATGTTCTTTTTTTTTCTTTTGGTGGTACTGGAATTTGCATTCAGAGCTTACTGCTTGCTAAGCTGGTGCACTACCACTTGAGCCAGGTCTCCAGTCCTAAGTACAGGTTTTTAACCATTATATAGTTCACCTGTTGTGTTTCTAACATGAAGACTCTCAATATTTGTAGTTTTTCATTTGTAAAACATTCTGAGTACTTTTTGTGATGCTATGAAATTCTGGGCAACTTTTGAGCAGGAGGAAAACAAAGGTACATCCATTTTGTGTTGTATTTATTTTTATCAGGAGGAGCAGCTGGGGCAGCTCAGACTCCACTTCTGCTTCCCTGGATGGTTTATGTTATGACTTGTATAAATTTAGGAGGGAACTCATCATACTTTTGACAGTAATAAATTGCAACATCTTCCAGCTCCAAGCTTCTGATGGAGAGAGAATAATCTTTCCTAGATCCACTGCCATTGAACCTTGATGGAAGGCCAGATTGCAGTGCGGATGCTGTATATATCAGCAGCTTAAGAGGTTTCCCTGCTTCTGCAGAAACCAGGATAATGTACTGCCAGTGCCCTGACTGGCTTGGCAAGTGAGGGTTCTCTGTCTCCAGGGCAGGCAGACAGGAAGGACAGAAACTGGTCATCTTAATATCACATATGGCACCTGATATTGGAAACATAAAAAGACAAAAATTAACACTGCACATTGATAATCATTTTATAAGAGAACTTCCCTGAAAGACCAATAAGTACTGATCTACAGTGTTCTGAGAAGATCACAAGTATTTCCTTGCTTATTTGGAAACAGAGCAGCAAGGCACCCAGAAGCTGACCAGGTGCCTTCATGGCCATACTATGTCCTGACTGCGAATTATTCTGGCAGAGGATTTAGCCAGTCTATTAAGAAGCCCTCAGGGAAGTGGGCTAAGCTCTGGATGCAGAGTGGGTCAAGGCTGCAGAGCTACCACATTTCAATAATTCATCAAAGACCCAGAGTTCACAAGTGTTTGAGATCAGAAAAGAGCATTACAGACTAGAAGGCAGATAACATGTATCCCCATGAAAACCACAGGACAGAATTAGTCTTCACTTCTAGAGTGGAGTGTTCTCTTTCTGTACTCATGATGTATGTTCTACTTTTTGTGCCCTCTTTACCTATTGGATAATCTGTCATGGAAACACATATCCAATAATGGTTAGAAAATTATGGAAGTTTCTTTCATGTGGATATTATGAAAGACCAAAAAATTTCATTGATCAGATTTCCTAAGACCCTTCTGTGATTAATTATCACCACTTTTAACCAGAGTGGCAAGGATGTATAATAGGGAAATATAGGGAGTAGTTTAGTTAGGTAGATACATAAATTTGAATGAAAAAAGAAAATAATATGAAAGCTTAATATGTAAAATCCAGTTGGGCTAAGATAGCAGATAAAAGGCACCCAAGTCCAGAAGCTCCAAGAAAATGACAAAGGACATTGGCATGCCAGCCTCTCTATCTGGTGGGTGAAGGTATGAGTGCACTAAGGATTCAATTGCTAACAGATGTAATGAGGTTGTTAAAAGGAAAGTAGCCAAGGGCAAAATGCTGGCTCTGAAGGTTGAGAACAGCTGTAGAGGGCAGGAGTCCAGGTAAAAGAAGAAAGGAAAAAGTGTGTGTGTGTGTGTGTGTGTGTGTGTGTGTGTGTGTGTGTGTGTACTGTGATCTTAGTGGTGAACACCTAGAATCTTAATTCTATGTGCTCAATTACTCCATCCCATGCAGGTACTCCTTCTTGTGCACTGGCAGGAAGCTATAGTGATAATAGGGAGACCTGCTGGCTGGCAGCATTAGAGATTAGAAGAATCTACAGCCTGTGGTTTGTGGAACCATACAAGGACTAGGTGGATTCTTACTGAGCACAGACGAGGATAGCCAGAGATGGAAACTTTTCAGAAAGATCCATACAAAATCTGGTCTGAATTACAAAGTAGAGGCTACCTTCCAGTTAGGCAGAGATCAAAGCAGGAGAACAGAAGAATAGAATTTCTCTAGCAATGGTGCAACTTCATAGGGTGTCCCCATCCTGGAACAGATTAGTAAAGCCTTATCTAGTTCCCTCCTGACACAACCAGCATTCTGGTAGATAGGGAACACTAAAAAGAAAACAGAAAATTACTTAACATGCACATTATAGCTCATCATCAGCCAAAGAAAGAAAAACTTGTCAACATTGAGGAAGAATTTTGGCTATAGCACACATCGATGGCAACCAAAAAAGATGAAAAACTATACTTTTTTAATTAAAAATTTAATTGTTTGTTGTTGGAATTATTTCTTTTCCTTTTTTTTTTTCCTTTTTTAATTTCACTGTTTTGTTTTCCTGTAAAGACTTACAAAACCAGACTGATTGGTACAAAGAATCACATATAAATTTTTTATTCTATTTCACATACTTAAGTTTTTCTTTTTTCCTTTTTTTGGTACTTCCCAGATATTATTTATCTCTTTAACCATTCAGCATCTATTTTATTTAACCACTTTAGCCTGACTCTAGTTGCTGTTTTATTGTTTTGGTTTGTCTATTTGGTTGCTTTTTATCTTTCTGTCTTTGAAATGGGCTCTCCCTACAGGATGCAGGCTGAACTGAGACTTGTGGTCCACCTGCCTTACTCTGAGAGCAATAATACACATAAGCCACAACATCCATGTTTTAATATTTAAGTTTTTGAACATTTCTTCTCCCTCCCTCCCCATTGCCTCACTCCCATTTTACTCTTGTTCCATCCTCAATTAGATCACTTCTTTACCTTATTTCACTTAACTTTCAATTTTCCCATCTATAATCTTTCTTTATTATCATTTTTGGGCAGATTTTTAGATTCATAGAGTTTACTATATTTTTGTTTCTACTGTCTCACTATATCTTTATCTGGATATTTTCTACTCATTAACATTTTCTTTCTCATGCTCTCTTTCTATGTATTGTGTCCTCCCCCTTTTCATACTTATATCACAATACATCTTTATTATTCACAAGCATTATCTCTCCTACCTTTTTTCTATTAGTATCCTCATTAACTTATGCATTGTCTTTGTTCCTTTATTCTTCTAACAATACTGGAGTTAGGATGGTGATTGCTCTTAATTAGTAATTACTAGATTTTAATTGTGAGTATGTCTATCAATTATGATTGCTTCTACATGTAGTCTTCTTCCCACATAGAACATCAGATGAAACTCAGTATATTGAC